TAAAAATATAAAAGTTAGCCAGGCGTGGTGGTGGGGGCCTGTAGTCCCAGCTACTCTGGAGGCTTAGGGGAATTGCTTGAAACCAGGAGGCAGAAATTGCAGTGAGCTGAGATCGCACCATGCACTCCAGCCTGGGTGACAGAATGAGACTCCGTCTCAAAAGAAAAAAAAAGAGAGAGATGGGATCTCACTATGTTGCCCAGGCTGGTCTCAAACTCCTGACCTCAAGTGATCTTGCCACCTCAGCCTCCTGAGTAGGTGAAGGCGTGCATGACCATGCCCAGCTTCAACATGCATTTAAATAATATTTGGCCCAGCCTGGTGTCTCAAACCTATAATCCCAGCACCTCCAGAGGCTGAGGCAGGAGGATCACTTGAGCCCAGGGGTTAAAGACCAGCCTGGAACAACATGGTGAGACCCTGGTCTCTACAAAACACTTGTAACATTGGCTGGGCGCGATGGCTCAAGCCTGTAATCCCAGCACTTTGGGAGGCTGAGGCCAGTGGATCACCTGAGGTCAGGAATTCGAGACCAGCCTGGCCAACATGACAAAACCCTGTCTCCACTAAAAATACGAAAAAGCTGGGCATGGTGGCACGTACCTGTAGTCCCAGTTACTCGAGGGACTGAGGCAGGAGAATCGCTTAAACCTGGGAGTCAGAGGTCGCAGTGACCCAAGATCATACCATTGCCCTCCAGCCTGGGAGACAAAGTGGAACTCCATCTAAAAAATATATAAATAAATAAAATTTTTTAAAAATTTAAAAATAGCCAGGCACGGTGGCTCAACACCTGTAATCTAAGCACTTTGGGGGAACGGGGCGGGCAGATCACCAGAGGTTGGTAGTTCAAGACCAGCCTGATCAACATGGAGAAACCCTGTCTCTACTAAAAATACAAAATTTACCAGGCATGGTGGCACATCCCTGTAATCCCAGCTACTCAGGAGGCTGAGGCAGGAAAATCGCTTGAACTCGGGAGGCAGAGGTTACAGTGAGCCGAGATCACACCATTGCACTCCACCCTGGACAACAAGAGCAAAATTCCATCTCAAAAAAATACATATATACATAAAATAATTACCCAGGCTTGCTGGTGTGCACCTGTAGTCCCAGTAGCTACTCAGGAGGCTGGGGCAGGAGGATTGCTTAAGCCTGGGAGGTCAAGGCTGCAGTGAGTTGAGATCATGCCACTGTATTTCAGCCAGAGTGATAGAGTGAAACCCTTTCCTGAAGAAAAAAAAGGAGAGAAAAAGAGCGGGAAAAAAAAAACGTGTGTGTGTGTGTGTGTGTGTGTGTGTGTGTGTGCGCGCGCGCATGCGCATATCTTAAATGGACTGAAAGGAAAACTCACTAAAACATTAATGCTTGTTGTCTTGGGGAGGGAGACTGAAAGGAGACAGATTATGAATGATTTTAAATTGTTTTAGTACATTCATATATTTTGATAATCATCAGTTAGTTCCATTAGCAGAGGAAGTAAGTAACACACATGTATTTTCTTTTTTTTTTTTTTTTTCTGAGAGTCTCGCCCTGTCACCCAGGCTGGAATACAGTGGCACAATCTTGGCTCACTGCAATCTCCAACTCCCAGGTTCAAGCTATTTTCCTGCCTCAGCCTGGGACTACAGGCGCGCGCCACCATGCCCAGCTAATGTTTTATATCTTGGTAGTAGAGACAGGGTTTCACCATGTTGGCCAGGCTGAACTTGAACTCCTAACCTCGTGATCTGCCAACATCAGCCTCCCAAAGTGCTGGGATTACAGGCATGAGCCACCGCGCCTGGCCCACACACATCTATTTTCTTTTTATCATTTGCTAGAGAGGTCTAACTTTTTCTTATTTATTTATTTATTTATTTGAGACGGAGTCTTGCCCTGTTGCCCAGGCTGGAGTGCAGTGGCACAATCTAGGCTCACTGCAACCTCCGCCTCCTGGGTTCAAGCAATTCTTTTGCCTCAGCCTCCTAAGTAGCTGGGATTACAGGCATGCGCCACCACACCCAGCTAAATTTGTATTTTTAGTAGAGACAGGGTTGTACCATGTTGGTCAGGTGGGTGTTGAACTCCTGACCTCAGGTGATCCGCCCGCGTCAGCCTTCCAAACTGCTGGTATTACAGGTGTGAGCCACCGCACCTGGCCCAAGAGGCCTAACTTCTATCAGATCTTGCAAGAAGTAACTAAAGTAATTACAGAAAACTTCTCTGGGCATTCTGATGGATTACTTCTAAATGTTGCCACGTTGCTAAAAAGTTTAGTAGCATTAATGCTGGTTTGTGTTTTGTTTGTTTGTTTTTTGAGATGGAGTTTTGCTCTTGTTGCCCAAGCTGCCATGCAATGGAGCAATCTTGGCTCACTGCAACCTCAGCTCACTTCAGCCTCCACCTGTCAGATTCAAGTGATTCTCCTGCCTCAGCCTCCCAAGTAGCTGGGATTATAAGCATGCGCCACCACGCCCAGCTAATTTTGTGTGTGTGTGTGTGTGTGTGTATTTTTGTATTTTTAGTAGAGACGGGGTTTGATCCCAAGCCAGCCTTGGGTCACGCAGGCCGTCTGCCCTGGCTAGAATCCCCTGGTTAGCACTGGCTACCCTACAGGATGGGGAAGTGGAAATTATGTATTGAATATCCTCTCAGTGCCAAGCCCTTTCACAGGGTAATTGTACTGCATTTTAGCTTCACAACAAGGTACAGAGATTGATTGGTTGTCCATTTTACAAGTCGGGAAAATGAGCCTCCCCGTTGCTTGTAAAAAGTAGGCTCAACCTGGTGAAGTGGCTCACGCCTGTAATCCCAGCACTTTGGGAGGCCAAGGCGTGCGGATCAGTTGAGGTCAGGAGTCTGAGACTAGCCTGGCTAACATGGTGAAACCCCGTCTCTACTAAAAATACAAGAAAATTAGCCAGGTGTGATGGCACGTGCCTGTAGTTCCAGCTACTCGAGGGCTTGAGGCAGGAGAATTGCCTGAACCTGGGAGGTGGAGGTTGCAGTGAGCCAAGATCGCGCCATTGCAGTCCAGCCTAGACTACAAGAGTAAAACTTTTGTCTCCAAATAAAAAAAAAAAAAAAATGAGGCCAGGCAAAGTGGCTTATGCCTGTAATCCCAGCACTTTGGGAGGCCAAGCTGGGCAGATAACCTGAGGTTAGGAGTTTGAGACCAGCCTGGCCAACATGGTGAAACCCCATCTCTACTAAAAATACAAAAAAATTCGCCCGATGTGGTGGTATGCACCTGTAGTTCCAGCTACTCGGGAGGTTAAGGCAGAATTGCCTGAACCTGGGAGGCGGAGGTTGCAGTGAACCAAGATCACGCCATTGTACTCCAGCCTAGGCTACAAGAGCGAAACTCCATCTCAAAAAAAAAAAAAAAAAAAAAAGTAGGCTCAAGATTCAAACCTCAGACCTCTGGCTCTCAGTTGTATTCCTTCCATGAAACTGGGGACTGAGCCAGGCCTGCACTGCCAATGTGACCTGCGGCCTGGACACAGCCACCATCCACAAGCCCACCTGCTGCTTTTGCTTTCCAGATGGATGATGAGGACTCCATCCTGCCCCGGAAGCTTCAGGTGGCCCTGGAACGCATTCTGGAACAGAGGAACGAGCTGGCCTGTGAGCAGGATGAAGGGCCCCTGGAAGGCAGGCACGGTAAGTGTTCAGCCACCTCCCGTGTGTCCCTCCCTTCTACTCTCAGGGTCTGGGAACAAATGGGCAGTGCCCTCCCTTCCTCTTGGTCCTGGGCCAAGTAGGAACATGGGTGAGGGAGACATAAGGAGAGAAACCCTGGCCTCATTTTCTTTGTCTGGATTTAATTCTCACTATGAATTGTGGGAAAGATTTTCCCACCTCCCCATTTTGGCCCTAAAGTACCTGTTTAACAGGGGTGTGTGGAAATTATCTGGGCATGGTGGCACATGCCTGTGGTCCCAGCTACTCGGGAGGCTGAGGCAGGAGGATCCCTTGAGCTCAGGAGGTTGAGGCTGCCATGAGCCACACCACTGCACTCCAGCCTGGGCAACAGAGTAAGACCCCATCTCAAAAAAATCAAAAATTAAAAACTGTGGCTAGGCGTGGTGGCTCATGCCTATAATCCTAGCACACTGGGGGGCCAAGGCAAGTGGATCACCTGAAGTCAGGAGTTCAAGACCAGCCTGGCCAACATGGTGAAACCAGGTGTCTACTGAAAATATAAAAATTAGTTGGAAGTAGTGACAAATGCCTGTAATCCTAGCTACTTGGGAGGCTGAGGCAGGAGAATTGCTTGATCCCAGGAGGAAGAGGTTGCAGTGGGTTAAGATCATACCACTGCACTCCAGCCTGCATGACAGAGCAAGACTCCATCTCAAAAAATATATAAAAGTCCAGGTGCAGTGACTCACGCCTGTAATCCCAGTACTTTGGGAGGCCGAGGTGGGCGGATCACTTGAGGTCAAGAGTTCGAGACCAGCCTGGCCAACATGGTGGAATGCCATCTCTACTAAAAATACAAAAATTAGTTGGGTGTTCTGGGCCCTGTGGCTCACGCCTGTAATCCCAGCTCTTAGAGAGGCAGAGGCAGGAGGATAGCTTGAGCCCAGGAGTTCGAGTCCTACGTGGGCAATATAGTGAGACCCCCATTCTCCACAAAAATGAAAAAAATAAAAAGACAAAAATTAGCTGGGTGTGATGGTACACACGAATAATTGCAGCTATTTGGGAGGCTGAGGCAGAGGAATTGCTTGACCCAGGAGACAGAGGTTGCAGTGAGCCAGGATTGTCTCAGCCTGGGTGACAGAGTAAGACTCCATCTAAAAAATAAATAAATAAATAACTTTTTAAAAAATTTAAACTTAGGCCAGGCGAGGTGGCTCATGCCTATAATCCTAGCACTTTGGGAGGCTGGGGGCAGATCACAAGGTCAGGAGATCGAGACCATCCTGGCAAACATGGTGAAATCCCATCTCTACTAAAAATACAAAAAAATTAGCTGGGCATGGTGGCGCACACCTGTAGTCCCAGCTACTCAGAAGGCTGAGGCAGGAGAATTGCCCGAACCCAGGAGGCGGAGATTGCGGTGAGCCGAGATCATGCCACTGCACTGCCATCTGGAAGACAGTGCGAGACTCCATCTCAAAAAAAAAAACAAAAAGTTTTTTAATTGAAAAAATTTAGTGGAGGCTGGGCGTGGTGGGAGGCCAAGGCAGGAGGATCACCTGAGGTGGAGAGTTCCAGACCAGCCTGGCCAACATGAAGAAACCCCGTCTCTAAAAAATTAAGTGGGGAAAGAAATGTCTTAGTAACCTAAGGTAACCTTCCTCCTGGATAATCACAGTTTCCATCGAGGGAACTGGCAGTTAGTTACTGTATTTTGATTACTAATTGGCTTGTCTTAAGGGCTGTGGCCCGGCCTGTCAGTCCTCACCGTTCCTAGCCCTTCCTCCCCTTACTCAGGTCCAGAGTCCAGCCCCTTGAATGAGGTAGTGTCTGAAGCCTTTGTCCGCTTCTTCGTGGAGATTGTGGGACACTACTCCTTGTTCCTGACATTGGGCGAGCGCGAGGAGAGAACCCTGCAGCGGGATGCCTTCCGCAAAGCTGTCTCCTCCAAGAGTCTCCGCCGCTTCCTAGAGGTCTTCATGGAGACTCAGATGTTCCGAGGCTTCATCCAGGAGCGGGAGCTGCGCCGGCAGGATGCCAAAGGTTAGGGGTGTCTTCTCTGTTGGCGCTGAGTCAGCTAGAGGTGCCCATATTCCAGGTGGCTGATGAGCAGGGAGAAAGATCACAGGGCAAGGGCACAGACAGGACAGTGTCCCCATCCCCCTGGAGAGCTTGCAGGCATGCCCTGACTGAGCTGGTGGAAAGGCCTCCTCCCCTGCCTTCTCTGTTCCCTCTGCTGGCCTCTCCCAGAACCACACTCCAGTGTCTATCGCAAGGTCTCCTTCTATCAAATTCTTTCCAAATTGGTGAAATTCTCAGGCTGGGTGTAGTGGGTGACTCACACCTGTAATCCCAGCACTTTGGGAGGCCGAGGCATGCAGATCACTGAGGTCAGGAGTTTGAGACCAGCTTGGACAACGTGGCGCAACCCCTTATCTACAAA